GGAAGGGAAGGGAAGGGAAGGGAAGGGAAGGGAAGGGAAGGGAAGAAGGAGCAAGGGAACATCCAAGCACACAGACACTTCATCTTCCTTTGGGTTTTACAGACGTTGTGGGTGAGATCAAGAGAATCTGAAACAGGCATGTTGACTCAACTCTTGGAATCTCAGGGTTTGGGAGGAGAAAGTAGGACCAGAATCTCAAGGACAGCCTAGGCTACATATGAAGTTTGAGGCTAGCCTGAGCTATATGAGATCTTGCCTCAAAACACCAACAAAAAGCTGGGATCGTGGTACATACCTGTAATCTCAGGATTTGGAAAGAAGAGTAGTTCAAGGGCATCCTTGGCTACTTAGAATTTCAGACTACCTTAGCAATGCAAAACTTAGCCTCAAAAAGGGGGTGGGGAGCTGTGTGTTCCTGCATTTTGTGTGTGACATTGGGCCATATGCCAGAGTTTGATGTAAAGACCTGACAACCTGACAAAAAGCCCCTGAGGAGAATAAAACAAATGGCACCAAGATGAAAGGTACTAGGTTCCCTCTGCCTAGGTGAAGAATAGGACAAGGATGAAGGAGGACACCATGGCTACCCTTGTGCACGATAAATGAGACGAGAGCCCTGGGATGACAGTGTGCAGCTGCTCTGTTTCCTCAGAGCTCACAGCTGCTGCCACTGCTGCCTTTTCCATCACCAGCTCCTTTGACACACAGGCTAGCAGAATTGATGGCCAAGGCTCTCCCAAGAGGCATCGATGCCTTTGCCAGGAGAAAGGTCTGTAAATGCTGCTAAAGCAAGATGGGAAAGTGCCGCATAGGGGCAACCTTGACCCAATAAAGACAACATCAGGAAAGAGGGCTCACAGTAACTGGTACGAGGATGTAGAGGGACCCCTTCCTTCGGAGGGTGGCTTTGTAGAGCTTTTCACTTGGGCAGAGCACAGAAAATCACTACATATTTACTTTCTCTTTTAAATGCACTCTGATGGAAGGATGCTCCTTTATTCTAGGATTATTTCCTTCTTAGTTTGGATGTGAACTATTCTTCTATGACATAGAACTGATAAAAGGTGGTATTCTCTCCACCCCCACCCTTCTTTTACCCACCACAAAATGAAATGTAAGTTACGTTACTGTCCAAGTTTTTCGTTGTTGTTGTTTTGAGTGTTTGGTCCATGAGATTTCAAAGCCTGGTACCCATTCAAAAGTCTGAAACTCTTTAAGAATTATGCACAAAGAAATAAAAACAAAAGACAACTTAGAAAACAACCGCATATTATTTTCTAAATTGCATAGGTAAATTGAGTGGATTTCAAGAACAACTCAGGGTCCAGAGGTGGAGTAAACAAGAACATCTTTGGGACAAGTCATCACACCAAGCAGAAAAGAACTAAGTGGTCCATTTCTGTCTGTCTTAGGAGTTTGAACTCTCTGTCCCTTTTAAAGACATGATGAAAGGGAGGGAGTGACTCACAGAGCCCTGAGCATGCCCCATGACTATCTGATACAGAAAGCACAGCTGATGTGAAAAACTAGTGACTGTAAAACTTTTCAGTTTTGCAAAATACTAGCCAAGAGCCAGCTGGGAAGGCTTTGGACCAAAGAACCATTCTCAGTATTCACAAGAATAATAATGGGAGAGGCCAACAATAGCAGCTGTTTGGGAGGGGTAAGTGCAAAAGAAGGGCAAAGGAATATGAGATACAAACAAATAATGAAAACTCTTAGGCTGGAAGCCATGGAGGCTCCTACACAGAGGGACATCCTTTACCCTCTGTCTGTGCTCTAGGACCCAGGCAGGAAATGAAGTGAGATCATTTAGAAAAACAGAAAGCTTGTGCTTGAGTATATAAGAATAGGGTGAAAGATGTCTTGAATCTCAAATAGGCATGATTTCAGACTTCGAATAACCTAAGTATGAGTAGAAAACTAACAAATGAAATGTAGAGTTATTTGTGGTCCCTGAAAATTGAATATATTCATTCATTTGCCCTATAGGTAGGATTTCCTGTGGGGGAAAATGATTGTGGAATAGTTATGGGAATTAACTATAATTTATTAAGCACCAATTATGGAGGCCAAGTAAGATGGTACACACCACCTTTAGTCCTAGCACTCAGAAGGTAGAGGCAGGCAGATTTCTGTGAGTTTGAGACCAATTTGGACTATGTAAAGAGTTCTAGGCAAGCCAGAATTACTTGGTGATCCTGTCTAAAAAAAAAAAAAAATTCAACTGTAGTCCAGAAATCATATCTGAAACTTTGCATATTATCTCCTAGGTTTTAAACAACTGCATTCTGAGGCAGGGCTCTATTTTCCAGGTGACAGTACTGAAACCAGGTGACATTAAGATGTGCTGAAATTCCAATCTCAAATTCCCATTCATTAAAACCTTCAGAGTGACACTATTGGAATGTGGAGGAGATGGTGCCCAATGAGAGGTCTTTGGGTCCTTGGGGGTGTGCCTTAAAGTGGACTGCAGGTCTCATGACCATCCTCCTCCTCCTTTTCACTTCCCAGCCTTGAGATGAGCAGTGTGGCTCTGCTGCACTACGGACCATAATGCACGGCCTCACCACAGGCCACAACACAATGAGCGAATTAACCATGGACTAGAGCTTCCAAAACTGCAAGCCAAAAGAAATTGTTTCAATAAATTGATTGATTGTCTTGTTTTTTCTGGTATGGCAGATATCTATCTAATTAATGCAAGATACTTACTCAGGTGTTGCAACTATTGTCAAGAGCTAAGTATGGAGCTGGGGAGCTTACTTCCCTTGAAAGCATGAGGACTGATGCATCAAGTCACAGTACCCATGTAAACCCTCACCTGCAATCCCAGTACTTGGGATGGAGGGAGCAGAGACAGGGGACTCCCTGACTTGTTAGACTACCTAGAATTGGTGAGCTCTGCCTCAATAGTTATAATGGAGAGAGAGTGAGCAAAGAAGGCACCCAACATCAACAAAAGAGTTAAATATCTATTTAACCGCTACTTTCACCAACCAGTTATCCTCTGCCCAGAGGCACAGTGAATGACTCTAAGCCTGAGGTGAGGATAAACACTTCTCTCAGAATTCTTTCTATTGGTGCCTGTTTCATCACCCGAGACATTGATGCTACAATCCTGGATCTGTTCTTCCTTGTTCTTTCAAGTGAGCTTACAAAGTCATTTTTGTGTTAAGCAACCTGGGAGTTGATCTGATCAAATAGTACATGGAGGACAAAAGAGTAACTCTCCTAGTTGGGCAGTGGTGGTACACTCCTTTGATCCTAGAACTTAGGAGGCAAAGGCAAGTAAATCTCTGAGTTTGTGACTAGCCTGGTCTATAGAGTGACTTCCAGACAGTCAGGACTACACAGAGAAACTCTGTTTTGGAGGAGGAGGAAGAGGTGGAGGAAGAGGAGGAGGAAGAAAAGGAGGAGGAGAAAGAAGAGGAGGAGGAGAATTATTCCCTGTCAGGGATAACAGCCTCATCTTCATTAACAGCCTTCTAAGGGAAGCTCCATCCTCTCCCAGGACCTGTTTCACCACTCCACTGAATCTACTGTGCAGGCTGTTGCTGGAGGCTGGAAGAGAGATGTGAATGGAAGAAAACTGCTAAAAGAAAGACAGCAAAAGGAAGAGAAAGGAATATTGAATTTGGTCAATAACATACTAAATAAAAATTTAAAACAAGGGGCAATAATGGTAAAAAATAGAAGATCTAACAAAGTAAGGTAGAAATGGAAAATAAAGCTGATTATAGAACATGTGATAGTTGAAAAACGAAGTAATTGGGAATAATATCCCCAAGAATACAGCAGTAGAACAACCTTCTGATCTGGGAGACCAAGCTTGAGGAACTCTGCTATCCTGAAGGAATAAATTGCTGATAGCTTTCGTGCACATTAAGAGACCTGGAGTGTCGAAGTCTGTAACAGCAGCTCTGGAAGGAAAACAAACAAAATAAAATGACAGAGGTCATAAAAATGTTTAAAGTTATCAGACAATTAACAGAATTGTAGGAGAATTAAAGAAACATTTTCTTCAACTTGAAAATCCATACAGAATGGCAAGCAAAGGGAGGAGAGACCGGACTGCATTAGACTGAAACTTATACTCAGCTAAACTAACTTTCCTAAAACCGAGTATACTGTATATACTCGACATAGAAAATGTAAGAGTTGAGTTTGTGAAACAAAGATCCTTCAAAAAGTTTAAATGGGAGGAGTATAGAAGGATGGTACCAAACTTAGGAAGGTAAATGGCTTAGGAATACTTCACAAACAAAGTAAAATTTAATACCCAAAAGCACAAAGAATAAAAGGCTGTATATTAGAAAAAGATACCAAGCTTAATAAATACAGTAACTGTGTCCCATTACATTAAGCACTAGAAAACACTGGCAAAGCTATGATCAGGAAGAGAAGGCTAGTAAACCAAAGAGAGTCTATTTGAAACAGTGAACAGAACAAACACAACCTTCGTGTATTAGCTTCTCATCACTATGACAAATACTTGAAAAAAATCCAAGTTCAAAGGAAAAGAGGCTTATTTTAGCTCAGGGTTTCAGATATTTCAGGCTGTGGTTGTTCTGTCTTGTTTCGTGCCTGTGGCAGTACATAGCATCATAATGACCTAACTTCCACCTATGTTTCTTGAAGGTTCATCCACTCCCCTATAGAGCCACCATCTGGGGTTCAAGCCTTCATACACAGACCTTTGAGGGTTGCATAAGGTCCAAATTATAGAACCTAGCGAGAGTGATCAATAAGAAATGAGTGGAAATGACCTGTGGTCGAAGGAGATGGCTCAATGGGTAAAGGTTTTTGCCACCAAACCTGACAACATAATTTTGATGTCCAGGACCCTCATTGTGTAAGTAAAAACTGACCCCAGGAAGTTGTTCTCTGACCTTTATATGGTTGCCAAGGAACACTCATTCTCACACACATGACACAGATAAATAAATAAATGTTTTTTAAATGACCTTTATGATTTTACCACTAAATGTCCATTTTATGCTTATTCTGTAGGGATCTATACATTTTTATCTATGCATTATTTAAGGACTATCAATCACATTGATATGAATGTCTATACTGTATACAAAATGGGAGTGGGATCTCTGAGAAAAGTAAACCCTGTACATGAACGACAGAGCCCCACATGGAGGGTGAATGGAAACAGACTATGGCACTACACAAAGGGTGACTTGTTCAGTGATGTCTGTGACTGCACTTTTAGGAAAGACAATAAAGTCAAATCTTTCTTTGCTCCCCAAAGCACTTGTCATTTTGTTTTGATTGCTTGGTGTTAAAAAGGAAGCCAGAGCTGGTGTGTATTGAACTTCTTGTATGCCTCACACTCAGGAAGCAAAGGCAGGGAGGTTATGAGTTAGAGGCCAGCCTGGATTATGAAGGGAGAACCCATTTCATAAAACATTAGGAGAAAGGAGAGAGGGAGGGAGGCTAGAGGGTGGAAGAGAAACAGATAACTAGGTAAACAGATGGTTACCAGTCTTGATCGATTCCGGGAAGGATTTTGTAGTAAAAATGTAATAAATGAAACAGCAACGGAGGAAACTCTGGATACTTTGCCTTTATTAAAGTGAAATTTTAGCCGGGCGGTGGTGGCGCATGCCTTTAATCCCAGCACTCGGGAGGCAGAGGCTGGTGGATCTCTGTGAGTTCGAGACCAGCCTGGCCTACAAGAGGTAGTTCCAGGACAGCCTCCAAAGCCACAGAGAAACCCTGTCTTGAAAAAACAAAAAACAAAAAAAAAAAATAAAAATAAAAATAAAAATAATAATAAAAAAGTGAAATTTTTCAAAAATCTGTCTATCAATGATCCATGAAAATTAGCCAGGCATTGTTAGCACAAGTCTTTAACCAAAGCACACAGGAGGCAGAGGCAGGTGGATCTCTGTGAGTTTGAAGGCCAGCCTGGTCTACAGAGCTAATTTCAGGACAGCCTGGGCTACATATAAAAACCCTGCCTCAAAACACAAAACAAAACAAAAAATAATTAATAATAATAATTAGTAGAAATTATATGCACAGAGGCTGGAGAGATAGCTCAGCAGCTAAGAATACTGGCTGCTCCTCCAAAGGACTCAGGTTCCCAGGACTTACATGGCATCTCACAACTGTCTGCAACTCCAGTCTTGGGAGATCTGACACTCCGCTCTAGTCTCTGCAGGCACCAGGCACACATGTGGTACACGGACACACATAAGGGCAAAACACTCATATGCATAAAACAGTGATAAAATATTTTTAAATTAAATGCACAAAGCACATACAAAACAATATTTTCAACTGAAATCACAAAGGGGAAATAGGTACAATATATTATTCATGCAAATAAATACAACCCAAAAATTGATCTTATCGGAAAAGCTAGCAAAAGGACAAAAATTTCATAATCCAGGAAGAAAATACAATTGTCTAATAAATGTGGTATTAGTTAGGGTTCTCTAAAGGAACAGAAGAAAAAGCACTCATTCTCAAAGTAATATAAAAATGCAAATTAAAACTAAAATGTCCCATCTACCATGTTATTGAGCATTCTTATACAAGCCTCCCGGGAAAATAGATCAGTCCCACTTCTTAGAAAGCAATTTCATGTCAAGAGTCTTTTAACTCAGTAACTCCTCTTCTAAGCTTGTATTCTTGAGGGTAAGAATTACATATTCATCAAAATGGGATGGTAAATTTTCATCATTATGGTGGTGGTGATGATCTACAAGAATACCACCTCTAAACACCAGGGCCTGACACATGGTAGGGACTCATGAAACATCTGTTAACTGGCCCTGGAACCCAGTGTGGCATCTTAGAAAAGAATGAGCTTAAATTATGACTTGGAAGGTTGCTTAGACATCCTAGAAAGTAGGAATGACCTGAATGATGTAAGGCCAAAACCATGTCTGCCTCCTCCCTTCTGTTTCTCTCTCTCTCTCTCTCTCTCTCTCTCTCTCTCTCTCTCTCTCTCCCTCTCTCCCCCCTCCCCTTCCCCCTCTTTGTGTAGGCAAACACATGCAAAGACCAATGCACTATGATGGAATTTGAGAAGGAGGTGGGAATGTGCAGGGAGAGCCACTTTTGGAATGGGATTGTGGGATTGTAGGAATTGTTTCAGAAGTAAATATATTTTAAAATTACCTGTGCATCAGAAGGAAAAGAGGGCTGGCAAGATAGTCCAGTGGACAAAGGCACTGCCGCCGAAGCTGTGGACCTGAGTTTGATACCCAGAACCCACATGGTGGAAGGAGACACTGACTCCTGCAAGTTGACCTCTGACCTCAGCATATGTGTCGTGCCATGCATGTACACACACACACCATGGACACACACACACACATCATCATCATCATCATCATCATCATCATCATCATCATCATCATAATGACCACATTTAAAAAGGCAGAGGAGAACAATGTCAGCTGAATAAAGTAACACATACCTATAGGTCCAGTACGGGGCTGTTTCTAGGAGTACAACAGGAGTCTGGGAAATATCTAAATAAATAAGAAAAAAAATGGCTGGGCGTTGGTGGTGCACACCTTTAGTCCCAGCACTCGGGAGGCAG